GGAATGCCTCGCCTGCGTGCCTTGGGATGGGGACACTGCTGAGCCCCAGGCTGGCATGTCCGGGGCCAGCCCCAGCCCGATTGAGGGCAGCTGGAGGTTTCCTCGTGACTTCGATGTGGGAACGAGCGAGCCCTTTCAGCTGGGTTTCGGCAGGACCCTTGCTGATATATTGCGGTATTTGGCTCTCCTGACTGGACGCATGTCACCATGTCACCTCCTGTGTGTTCACCCCCCCGCCTGCGAAGCTGTGTTAGAAAGATTATACTGTGCCTAATTAAACTGGGTAACACGGGAAAGGCATGCCTCCCAAAATATCCCTGTCCAGCAGCAAATGTCCCCTGGGGGCAGTGGGAACAGGAGGTGTCAGGGGCTCCCTGTCCCCTCTGTGGGCTGTCCCCAAACCCATGGGGGACATGTGGCCAGGGCAAATGCTCTCGGAGGAGCCGATGTCATGTATCTGCAGGCACCGAGGATGGGGGAATGTGCAGTCACGATGGTGTGGTGAGAGAAAGTGTGGAGGCAGATGGAGCTTTGCCTTCGTTTTCTGCACTTAGCTGGGGCTGCAAAATGAGGGGGTGGCTGTCAGCTGTGCTTGATTTTGGGGATCATTCCCAGTCCTTTAGGAAACCAGGACTCACTTCACTCAGCCAAAGAGCTGACCTGTCCCCGCTGCAAATGGGGAAAAGCCACACTCATGGATTTACCGTGAATTTACCCCACCATGGTGGGGAGAAAAACACGCCAAAGGCCTTCAGGTGATGACCAGCCTTTTCTCAGTGCAGGGAAAAGCGTTTTAATCCACAGCAACCAAAGCAAAACATCTCTCTTTGGTGATCCAGGACTCCCTCTTGTGTCCAAAGGAACAACGGATGCCTCTGGCATCTCAGGGTGACAAAGTCTTCCCTCCAGCTAGCTCACACTGGTGTTAGGTAGCAAAATGGAAAATAGTATCAATGCAGCTAATTGATTTCATCTCTTCTAAAAATCCCTTCATCCTTTAACAGGAATAATTTTGCAAGCAAAAACCTGCTGTCCCTACGTAATGCCCAACCAAAGCGGCGTTAACCAGGGACTCGGGGTGGTGTCAGCACCAAGCAAGGGCACAGGTGAGTGCAGATCTGTGTCCCCCACACTGCATCCACAGGTTTTGCAGTCTGGAAAGATGAACTTGCTGCAAAGCCTGCTAGGAACTGCAGTCCTGTGGGCGCCCGCTGGCCTTGATTTACCCGGGCTTCAGCTGGGCTCTGCCTCTTCTCAGCACAGAGGTGGTAGATGTATTAAAAAGGAAGAGAATTGCATTTAAGGAATTAATTTTTGAAGCATGTTGGTCTTCAGAATTGGAACATATTAATACTGTGGTTGCCTTGAATGTAGAAAAGACAGAAAAAGCTGCAAAGGGAAGTTGTTATTTTGTTAAAGGGCATCGGAGCCTGTCCTTAGGTGAGGGCACAGGCTGGGATGGGGGACCTACTGTCCCCCATCACCAAAACATCACCCAAACTCTCCTGAGCACCCCCATGGTGACCTCCCTGAAGCAAACCCCAGCCCCAGGCTGCTTTCCCCCCTCGGGATTCCCTGCGGAGCCAGCGGGGCGACAGGTGCTGGCCCCGGGCACTGCCAGGCACCGCAGCAGAGGGTCAGGAATCGCGCCTGGTCCTGTCCCTCCATCCCAGGAGGCAACAGCTCTGAGTCATCCCCCTGAAAACAGCCCCTGGGATGCATCAGAATATATCTAGGGTTGATGCACCGCAGAAGTGGGAGCTCTAACATTGCCTTCAAAGGGTTGCGGCTGCGTTCCTGGAGCAGCTGGGATGGAATCCAGGTTGGGATGTGGAAGAAGGTTTTCTGTCTGCTTAGAGGCAAAATCTGTGCCACTGACACCAGGCACACTGCCACGGGAAAGCTGTGCTTCTGCAAACACCCAGTGTGAACACAGACTTACAAAACACAGTCATGGTTAGAGGGGAAGGCTGAAATCCATCTGGCATTGAGAGATGATGTTCCTCCCTGGAGAGGGAGGCACAGGCGAGGGGCATTCTGCCAACCCCTGCCTCCCCGCTTGCTGCTCAGAGCCAAAGCTTCCAGCATCCCCTGCTCTCCAGAGCGGTTTGCTCATAAAAGAGTTGGGAACTGGGGTTTTGTAGAGAAACCTAGAGCCTCTGCCACGCAAAGCACAAGGGGAGGCTGCTGCAGCAGGTAGGGAGGTGTCCCAGGGAAAACCATCCACTCCTGCTGCTTCTCTTGCCTCCTCACGGCAGGGACAGAATGTGTCCATCTATAGCCTGGGAAGGGCTGACAACACAAGTGTCCCTAATCCGGGCGGGGGGCCGGCTCGGTGGCTCACCGGCTGTCACTACAGTTAGGTATGGCACATTAGCTCAGGCTTCAGCTGCATCCCGATGTGTCGTTACACTTGTCAGTCAATCCAAGGTGCCAAGACAAGCAGAAAGGTTTACTGCACTTTTTTTCTCCAAAATCTCAGTTCAGGTTTTCCTTTCCAGGCAGCTGCAAGCCACTGCAAAACAAGCAGAGGGCATCATTTGGGTCAAATATAAGGAAATAAAAAGCAGAAGCCCAAATAAGTTTGCTCCAAACTGCAGCAAAATGCTCCAGCATCCCCTTTCCCTGCACAGGGCACCTGGGGCCAGACCCACTGACCTCAAAACCCTTCAAGTGCTGCAGCTTCTTCCCCCCAAAAAAATGTGTCACAGGCTAAATGGTCACCTGGAGCCCCGTTCCCCCAGTTAAAACAAGCTTCTGTCAAGAGAAACATGTTGACATCCCATGGGGAAAAAAAAATCAGTGATTTTTACTGCTATCTAAATCTTCCTGGGAGAGTTTTAGCTGAACAAGCCCCTGTTTGCCCCCTTCCCCAGCAGCATTACTCCTGTTGATGCATCTTCTCCCGGAGCCAGGACAGAGCTGTCACGCCACGTGCCACCTCAGTGCTGGCAGGCACCAACTGCTTTAGGAAGGGGAGAAGGGTACCTGTCAAAGCCGACAGATGTGAGCACTGCAAATAGTTATTTAATTAAGGAGATGGGACATTGAGAGGAAGCTTAATTACAGTTGCTCTCCA